ACGACTTCCGCATGCCCAGCATAACTGCGGCGTCCCTGGTGGTAAGCGACCTCGCCTCTAAACCGTCCGACTCCTTCCTTTGGTCCTCGGTGTACTAACTCCTGTCCTACAAACGGTGCTCCGATCTCTCCTACCTATCCTAGCTCTAGCTAAAGGCTTCTGCCGTCGCTGCACAATAGCTGCCACTCCAACCTCCGTTACCCTTTGCTTTAGATGGAGCGTATTCCTACCTAATCCCTCGAAAGCTTCCGCAGCTTCTAACGTTTCTCTCGATGTCAACTCTCCCCTCTTGAGCAGCCGCTTTTTAGTTTCCACGGAAGCTAACCTGTCTATGAATACCATGGCCACCGTCGTCCTTCACTCTCTCAAACCCACAGGTGGTAGCCGCCTTTTGCAGCTCTGCGTAGTATTCCTGCAATGTCTGGCCCACCTTCTGCGTCCTGCACATTAATGCAAACCTTTCCGCCATTAGCGATTTCTCCGGTTGAAATTGTTGCTACATTGCCGCTCCCAGTTCCATTGAGGTCGCTGTTCCAGGTTCCTAGCCCTGCAATAGCGATTACACTAACTCATAATTGGATGCTCCACTTCCTGGAGAAAGATGAGGCGCTTGCCGCCTCCATGTGTAACCTTCCTTGATCCCAGGAAATTTTGGAACAACCTGCACCAAGTGTTCCATGAGGCGGTACATATGGCTCTAGACTGCGGCCCTGGTATGCATCGCAGGCCGCAGCCGGGTCCTGCCCCGCGAGGGCCTGACGCACTCTCACCGGCTGGATGGAAGTGTTCACATATCGCCGTCGTTGTTCTTCATCAGGCTTTCTGCCACTGATTAAACTGCTTCTACTAGATTGACAGCCCTCTTCTGGTGGTTTGACTTCTTGATCCGCTGGCTTGTCTGCTCGGCCTCCTTGGAGCTACCAGCTTCCTTGTGGCGGTAGAGAGACCAGTGACTGAATGTTTCTTCCTCATCAAATCCCCTTTATACGGTCCTATCCCTTAGGGGCAACTCGACCTTTCGTCTCTCCAGGGTCGATTAGTAGGTACGAGAGTCGCCTGGGAGGATGTAATTGATAATGAGTGATTTGTACATCAACTGGCCACCGCAAGACTGTATCGGCCAGCACGCACTCAATACTTTACAACAATTCTGAATGGAAGTCGAATGCGGGGCGCATCGGTCAGACGGGACTGGCTGAAACCGAAGACTTTATCCTTCTATCCCCCCCCCCCTTCCAACCCATGTCACAGGCATCTCCGCTACGCAGGTAGCTTACCTCTACTTCGCAACTCTTGTCGCGTTTCTTTTCACAACTTTGTAACCATGTTCCGTCCTGGCAAACAACTTATCATATCAAATGTTCTATGATGAAAGGACTTATTCATGAGACACCATCTCACTACATATGATTAACCAGGTATGTCTATTGGTTTGCCGGCGTGCGTGTCTGTATGTGCTCGGCAGGAAATTTCTAACTCTTGTTTTCCTGAACCGGAACTCAAACCCAAGGGCTGCAAATAGCAAGCTAACTTTAAATCAAAAATACAGATGAAGTCAAATTCTCCTTGGATGAACCACTGAACCCCAAGGACAGCCTGAGGGACGCTGTCAGGTCAGAAAATGGCCAAGATAGGGCGTAATAACGGCCCTAAACTCGGCTTAACCGACTTGAGCGTTGTGAAAGCTGTAGAAGTTGCACCGTTTGCACCGGGACCCACACATTGTAGGTAGCTTACTGTAGCCAGCTGTGCGCAATATTACACACATTTGGACAGCTTGTGAAACCCCTTCCATGCAACTCTTAATCATCCAACCCCTGATTTTGTCACTTTTAGAAGCCTTATATTTCTCTGGATACGCCGGGTTTTCTTCGACTTTTCGCACTATGCTGAACAGTCACTCACCTTATCCGCCTGACGTCTGAAACTAACTACTCCAAAATCATCGTAAACTGCTACATTAACCCGAGAAGGAAGGGATGCCGGCGTGAGCTAGGGGGTGGCAGAACACCTCCCATTTCTTACGCTCGCTTGCCTTTAACCTTTTTAAAATCATTTTAGTTGTCTCGCTGCTTCAAAGTGCAATTACCGTATCCAGCGCGAATCCTGGGCAATCGATAGAACATCATACTTTTCGTCGACTACCTTTCTTTTTTTTGACTTTGTTGACTCTTTCTTTTCCTGTTTTCATGCTTGATAAATTTGATTTTTGGGAATGTCTCCTCTATTATCGACGTCCAAGACCGCATGGGGATTGATGAAAGTGGCTAAATGATTAAAGTATCTTGAATTGCGCGGCAAGCGCAACGCGGTGTTCGAGGAGTAGTTACCGTACCCGTTCCGGTTGAACTAGCGGTACGGTGGGAAAAGACTACACCTTCTTCAATTATATGTTCTTGTGTATGTTAAATTAGACAACCAAAAACGTAAACTATTACTTACAATAACTGCTTCCCGTCGATCGGGGTCGCTCAAGTCCGCCAGGCCGCTCGCATGTTCGGCAAGAGAATGCTCCATTGCGTCCTTAACAAGCGAATTCATTCAACATTAAAAAAATTAATTCTTCTTTTCCACCGTTGCCGTTTACGCCGTCCGACTCCGACTAGAGGCACGGCATGTGTGCTGTTGAAGTTTAACGACATGCGTTAATTCAACCCACGTGCAACCGATCTACAGCCCTGCTGGCCATATGTTGACAACGCAGGACTGATTACGTTCAATCAGTATCGATCGGTGTTCAAATTGAGCTTTCCACTTACCAAGTAACTTCGTTTTCCCCCTCCCCCCCCCCCCTCAGTTCAGCCTAAAAATTCCAGAAACATGAGGGGCGTCCAATGACTCATTCACTAAGCAGTATCTCCCAGATTCATGTGAATGCGCTACAGCTTCTTCCGGTCATTTTTTCTCTACAATGTAAACCATGAACCATTTATGTGCCTTTTTGTCGATACCCCCCGTTCGTCTGCCCTTCTGCAAAAGTGATGATCAAAATTATGCGCTGCGGAATGCCCAGCGTTAAACGAGTTGTGGAAAGTGATGCGAAAAACACTACCATCGATCAAGCGGATATTCGCGTAAAGAGGCGTTAACAATGAAGGGTCTGATTTATGCAAGATATCAAACAGAAGCATCAAATTCCGTTCAGGCACTCGACTCTTACAGTAATTTGGCTCCAATGGGTTGGGGTTACCAAACTCCTCACCGACTTCTCCCGTACATTAAGCCGCATGCAG